GAGTGCAATGTCACGATCTCAGCTCACTGCAACCTCTGCCTCCCGGGTTCAAGCAATTCTCCTGCCTCAGCCTCCCGAGTAGCTGGGATTACAGGAGCATGCCACCACACCCAGCTAATTTTTGTATTTTTAGTAGAGACGGGGTTTCACCATGTTAGGCTGTTCTCGAACTCCTGACCTTGTGATCCGCCCGCCTTGGCCTCCCAAAGTGCTACGATTACAGGGGTGAGCCACCGCGCCCGGCCCACATTTTGGTAGTTTTTAAAAGCTTCCAAGTCGATCTTATGTGCAGCCAGGCCTGACAACCCCTGAGTTAAGATATCAGAGAAGGACACCTATGCCAGGGTCCTAAAATGCTTCCTCTCACTGTGTCATCGAAGAGCCTCGGAGAGGCTGTGTGGTTATCTGTCAGATGGGGAAACTGAGGCTTTGAGTTTAGACACAACTCCTCTCAGCCTCACATATCCTGGGAGGCAGACCCTGGGTTGCTGAGGGTAGGTTAGGTTTAAGTGGTTTCATTTCTCTCCCTTTCCTTTTCTTCAAAGTCCCCAGCTCTGAACTAAACACGTGCTACATCTTCAGGTATTTACACCAGAGAGCTCTCCCGGGATGGAAAGCTTCTAGCTCCACCCCCTCTTCCCTTTTTAAGGTGGGGAAAACGAGGCCCAGAGAGGGCCCTGGTGATCCAGGGAGGCAGAGACAGACCTCGGCCCCCACACATTCCTTGACATCCCACTACCCTTCAGTCTGGGGGCTGCTCTGAGGCGGGGCTGCTCTTTTACCTGGCATTGCTAACAACAGCCATTCATTATCCCTCCTGGGGCATCTCCGCTCTTCCCTAAACGCCCTCACATAGCTATTAGGGCCTTGAGCAGCCTCTTATCTGCCCCATAAAAGGGATGGGGAGGTGTTAATTATCCCTGTTTTATAGATGAAGAAACAGAGGCTCAGGTGAGGTCACAAGCCTAACGCAGGCTCCCCCAGTGAAGAGGCAGTAGAGCTGGGACCGGCACCTGGGTGTCTTCCCCCAGCCTGGGGCTCCTTCCACCCCGGTAATGCTGTGTTTAAGGTAGGCTCTCCCCACTGGGCAGTTCTCCTTTTGGTAAGGGGAAAGGAAATGTCCTTTCTTAAGGTTACTTGGCCTGGGCTGCTGAGCTGGTGTGTGGGCTGGGGGGAGTAACAGCTTCCAGCTCCGTAAAGGTAACTCAGATCTCTGCACCAGGTTTTCAAGTTCAGCTTCAAGCAACGAAGTGAAATATGAGAAGAGTGCCGAGCTGAGCGGCGAGTTTCCTAAGGAACCGAGAGAAAAGGTAAGGAGTGGCTATGTGGCACATCTCTCATTAACCAGCAGGCAGTTATAGCTGCGGGGGAGCCTCCATGATCTTCTAGACCCCGGGAAGACTCAGAAACGTGTCATGCACACGATAAAACATTTTTTCTTCTAATGTTGGGACTATGAAGTCCCTTCTGGCATGAAGAGTGGTGACTCCCTACTCCCAGGTGTTAAATGCTGTTTACAAATGTATCAGGCGTTTTTTTTCTTTGCAAATAGGCAGAGGGGCACGTCTTTCTTATATAGGAGTGCCTGCCTTATTAAAATACTAAAATTTAGGTTTAAGATGTTAATAGAAACTCCTTCAAGGTCCTTCATAATGGTTCTTCCTGCCTTCCCCCTACTTCCCACCTAGCCATGGAAGGAAGAAGTAGGTGGCTGGGCACATTGGCTCACATCTGTAATCCCAGCACTTTGGGAGGCTGAGGTGTGGTGGGAGGATTGCTTGAGCCCACAAGTTTGAGACCAGCCTGGGCAACATAGTGAGACTCTTATCTCTAAAAGAAAAAATTTTGTTTTGAAATTAGCCAGATGTGGTTGTGTATACCTTATAGTTCTAGTTACTCCAGAGGCTGAGGCAGGAGGATGGCTTGAGTCCAGGACTTTGAGGCTGCAGTGAGCCATGATCACACCACTGCACTCCAGCCTGGGCGACAGAGTGAGACCTGTCTCTAAAAAAATAAAAATATAGGCCGGGCGCGGTGGCTCACACCTGTAATCCCAGCACTTTGGGAGGCCAGGGTGGGCGGATCACAAGGTCAGGAGATCAAGACCATCCTGGCTAACACAGTGAAACCCCGTCTCTACTAAAAACACAAAAAAATTAGCTGGGCATGGTGGTGGGCACCTGTAGTCCCAGCTACTTGGGAGGCTGAGGCAGGAGAATG